TTTATACAACTATTTTCCTCACTACTATTATACATTAGTATACCAACCTTTAATAATTTTATTTTTTTTTAACTCTATATAAATTCAGTAAAAAATTATTTCTTGGTATGTTCTAGAAGAACATATCTATGGCAGAATATATCTATGGCAGATATATTTCAGAATTCAAAAATTTGGATGTTTTTATATTTTTAACTTTAGAGAATACAATGATTGAATATTTTAGCACTCTCTATAAATAAATTTGTATAGTTTTAATGGAAGTGCATATAACCAGCTGTCATCTGTCAAATCATAAAAAAAAAATCAAGCCATTACAACTTACACTTTAACAGATTACTATGATATCACTGAGATTATGTATTGCTATTCAAGGGATCCTTTCCATATCATGCCTAATGGGCCACCATGACATCACCAACTAGTCATTTACTGTGATTACAATCAACTATTACATAACACACTGAACTATTTCAATTTTACTATCAATAATTTTATAAAAGGATGATGATTTCAAAGACTTTTAAAGAACACTCCAGTTTTTGGATTCATAATCTTCTACAGTATACAGAGAATTAAGTTTTTGCCCTAAGAAGAATTATTATACTTAATTTATCTCCTAATTTGGCTATATCTATAACAATTCACAACTATTATTTTTTAAATCTATAAAAATAGAAAAAAAAGCATATCATAAAAATATAATAAAAGATGCTAAGAACTAGTGATTGAAAAGTACCTGCTCATTCTGCTTTTTTTCATATGCAACTTTCTGAGGACTAGGCACTATTCTGGGGATAAAATTTTGTTTTGTAATATGTCTGTCAGAAGACAATTCGGCTGAAAAAGATGGAGTGAAACTGCAGTTTTCTGTTCTGTTGAACGGAGGTTCAAACATTCTATATGAGGCCATGACTTGTGAAGACTATAAGAAAGAAGATACAATCATTTGATTTGCCAAAATATATAAACTAGAGAACAGGAAAGTCAAAATAGAAGTGAAAAAGGCCATGGGTTGCAGAAAAAGTCCCAAGGAAAGGCCAGTCATCAGTAACTGACAGGACTTACTAAAACAAGACAGGTTATCAACTAAGATTATACTCAAGAGCTCCTTTCCATCTGCCTTTCTCACCCTTGGTCCCCTCCACCCTCAAGCTCCACTCCCGCATGTCATCTCCTAATGACAGTAAATCTGAGTTTCATTAATCTACAGTTCAAGTGAAAAGATTTCCAAGAGATTTTAGTATTATTGCCATTATCTTTCTGATGCAGCTTAACTTTGGCTATTCAAAGGAAAGAAAGAATAACTAATAATATGGCATTGGACCTTCAAATTGCAAGCTTTGGGCTGGCCCTGTGGCTTAGCGGTTAGGTACATG